CAAGCACCAGGAAACCTCTCCTGCCTGGGTCAGGCGGCTATTCTGGCAGCCTCTGGGCACCAGAGGCACTGGGTAAAGCCCTCGGGCTGCCCAGCAGCGCACTCTGGGGGCTTGAAGGTGTGGATAGGTCAATGGCAGAGGGACATCTGAAGACCCATGGGCACAAGGAAGCAATAGAGACAGCAGGGTAGCATTGAGGTGACCAGAAACCACAGGGGTAGATGACACTTGTCAATCAGAGCTCCATAGTGCCTGGGAGAGAAAGGGAATTCACTGTGATCTCAGGGAATGAATGCAGGCATAGAACTTCCCATCCTGCTGACTGCTGCATTCAACCATGAGCAGAAGCAGACTGGTAGAGTCCAAGCAGGTGGGTGCAGGAACAGGGTGGATTTCACGGTTCAATCCTCCGTCAGTGCCACATCAGGTGCCATTTTATGTACCGAGGAAAAGGCTGGAGGGTGGAAGGACACAGCAAGATGCACATGTGCTAAGCCAGTAGCAAGCTCATTTATGGATCAGCACATTGCAGTACCAACTTGGCATTATACGGATGCCACCAGAATAGTTCCAGGTGGCCCTCAGACCTAACAACCAGAAGGTACTGGCAAGACCAGCACTGCTGACAACTCAGTGATTTAGGACAACTTGTGTCTCACTAATCCTGGGCACTGCTCAAACCAGGAGTGGGAGAAAAGCTGTATTGGTAACAGTGCAACCACAGCACAGGATCACAGGAAGTCTCCACTATGAGTGGTGAGCCAGGAACTAGGGCTATTCAGACCAAAACGGAAGCCTAGCTCAAGAGTTCAGGACTGACACTTACTGGAGAGAGTGGCGGCACAAATTACTGCAAACAACAAACTGGGTATCAAATGCAATCAGTAAAATTGACCTATAGACCAGTAGGAAACACAGCCTAGAAACCTGCCTAAGGAGAAGAATCTGCTAACTAGCATAGCAATGACAAAGAGCAAAAGAAGAGACCCAGAAACAATGTATATCATTGATGCCTCCCCTGAAAAAAAAGACATTGAGAAAGACACTGAGAAAATTGGGGATACAGAATTTTAAAAACTTGTTATAAAGCTTCTTAACAACAATGAGAAGCACATACAGGTCTTCAAGGAATTTAAAAAATATGTCACACAGGGAATAGCAACACTGAAACAAAATAAAGCAGAATTATTAGAAATGAAAGACTCAATGAAGCAAATTAAAAATGCAATGCAATGCCTCAAAAACAGAATGAACTAGGTAGAAAAAATAACCTCAGAATTGGAAGACACTTACTTCAATCATGGGGAAATCAGCAAAAGTTGGAAGAGGAACTGAGTCAAACTAAGAAAAGTATTCAAGAATTAAGGGACACTATAAAAAGACCGAATATATGAGTTATGGGAGTTCCAGAAGGTGCAGAAAGACTAGTTGCATTTAAAACCAATTTCAATGAAATAAAGAAAAAATCCTAACTTGGAGAAAAAAATTGAGAAACAAAATAAAGGAGGGACACAGAAGTCCCAAAAAAAGGTTGACCTACAGTGATTCTTGCCACAACACTTGATAAACAAGCACTCCTCAGTTGAATACAGGGAAAGGGTGCTTAATATGCACATGAAACCGATCAATTAACACATAGAGGAATCCCAATCAGACTCACAGCTGACTTCTCAGAGGAAACTCTACAGACCAGAAGAGGTTGTAATGACACATTCCAGATTCCAAAAGGGAAAAACTGTCATCCCAAAATAATTTACCATGGAAAGATTTCATTTGTCTTTTAAAGTGAAATAAAATTCTTCCACAGTAAAGAAAGCTCAAAGAATTTGCCTTTTCCACATGTGCCTTACAAATGATACTTAAAGATGTTCCCTTGACAGAGAAAAGGAATAACACCTACCAAAATCAAAGGCAAATGTGAAGAACATCCCAGTAAAATAACAACGGAAGACTAAATTAAACAATAAACAATCCATTGCTAAAAATGACAAGACCAATTACTACCTATGCATATTAACCCTGAGTGTAAATGGCTTCAACTCATCAATCAAGCTTCATGGATTAGCAGACTAGATCAAAACACAAAACCCATCTATCTGTTGCCTACAGGAGACACATCTCACCAACAAGCAACGAAGAAACATAAAGTTAAAGGATGAAGAAACATATTCCAGCCAAAAGGAAAAGGGAAAATGAGTAGCCATTCTAATGTCAGATGATACAGACTTTGATGTGAAACGTATTAAAAGAGATGAAGAAGGAACCAAAGAATGATCAAGGATCCATTCAGCAAGAAAAGATCACCTTACTATTCTCTTAAGATTTTTTTCAGCTCTAATTTTACTTGGCTTATTGCTCTTGCTTTTCTTTGCTAGTCTTGCTAGAAGTTTATTTTGCTCTTCTTTATAAAATGGCTCTTCTTCTTTTATTTTTGCTGTGATTTTATCACATCTTGATTCCTATCTATTTTTTAATAAGTCCTTGAGATGTATTAGATCATTAATTTGAGAATCTGATTTTTTCTAAGCACCTGATATTATAAATATCTCTCTCAGTACTGTTTTTGCTGCATCCATATCATCAGTTTCTATATTCTTGCTTTTATTTTCATTTCTTCAACAGAGTTGGGCCTGGCATGATAGCATAGCTGCTTAAGTCCTCACCTTGAACACGCTGGGTTCCCATATGAGCACCGGTTCAAATCCCAGCAGCCCTGCTCCCCACCCAGCTCCCTGCTTGTGGCCTGGGAAAGCAGTCGAGGATGGCCCAAAGCCTTGGGACCCTGCGCTCACACAGGAGACCTGGAGGAAATTCCTGGCTCCTGGCTTTGGATTGGCTCAGCTCCAGCCACTGCGGCCACTTGGTGAGTAAACCATCAGATGGAAGATCTCCCTCTCTGTTTCTCTTCCTCTCTGTATTTCTGCCTTTCCAATAAAAATAAACAAATCTTTAGAAAGAAGAAGAAGAACGTTTTTTCTTATTAATTTCTTCAATGACATTTAGGTCATACAGTAGCATTGTTTTCTTCAAAAAGCTTTTGATTTTTATTTTCATTTCTTAATTGACACATTAGTTATTCAATAACAAGTTATTTAATTACATGGCATTGTAATTTTTCTATTTTTGTTCCTCTTGCTAATTTTGTTTTATGGCTTTTCATTTAAGGAAATATATAATAACTATGTAATAGATTATCATATCCATACGTGAAGATACAATGCAGTATGCATCTCTACTTGCAAATCAAAGACGGACTCCAAATACAAGTGTTTACTGTATCTTGACAATAGGATGCTATATTCTCTGCCATTGTGCATATCTACAATGTTAAGATGCAGTTTAATAACTGAATGATGAACTTATGACTGTTTATGGAAGACTATGCTATTGTAATAAAATAGGGGAAATCGGGGTGGGGCGATGCAGGGGAGGCGGATTTGGGATTGGGAGAGAAAATCCCTGAACCCGTGGAACTGCATCATAAAATAATACAATAGATAAAATAATTAATTTTTTTAAAAGAAGCAACTTCTGGAAAAGAAGACGAATAAAACGGAAGCAACTTTTAGTACTTGCCATAACTTGGACTAAGTCCTTGTGCAAGGTGAAACAATCTAATGACAAAGACCAAATCATGCATAGTCCCACTTGTTTGAAATCCCTAGAGTAGTTACATGCCTAGAGCGGTAAAGCAGAATGGTAGTTGCTGGGGGAAGGAAGGTGATGGGAGGGAGTTGATAAGGAGCATTTTCCCAGGGAAAGTTTGGGAAGGTAAGGATGTTTTGCAAATGGATGGCGGTGATGACTGTAAAACAATTCAAATGCACACAAACCTGCTGAACTGTACTTAGAAATGGTTAAAACACACTTCTCGCCTTTGGCTAAGAGTAACAGTTACGTTATGCAAATTTTACTGAAAGTTTTTAATGTTATCTATTTTGGACAAGTCAGGGGATTTCAAATGCTTTGGACTCGCTTGTGAGAGCTGCAAACTATCTTTCCCTTTCCTTGTCAGCGTTACTAGCTTGTTAATGCCATTTTACTCAAACCCAAGAAACAGAAACAAACCGTGGAACAGAGAAATTTCACAGAAAACTGAATTTAGGAAAATGATGATTTATTTGTGGACCTATATATTTGCTTTCTCGACCAAAAGCTTCGCACTGGATACACTCACATGCATCCCATTCTCAAAATCACAAGAAAGAGAAGAAGCGCCAGAAGACGGAGGACCCCAGCGGGCCCAATGGTCCTCCCTCCCTCTCCCCTCACACTCAACCCTCATCCCCACACTCCCTACAAAGGTCCGCTTTAGAGTCCGGGAGCTGTCCACGCAGCGCTGCTGTTTTTCCCTGGGGTTTTAATCGTGAATAAACGAGGGACTGCATGCCAGTGACTTCATGGTGTCCGACTTAAGCCGTGCTCTGTCCGACTCTGAAGGAGTGCTACATCCCACCGCTCCCTTTAGAACCCTACACTACGAAATTTCAAGCGCTCCTTTCCTGAGCCTCGCTCTTCCTCCCCGCACTCCTCCCACTCATCTTTCTCCCACTCTCTTTTTCCTCCTTTGAGATTTATAGCGGTGTGCTCACGCAGCCACAAGCCTCAAGCAAATCGCACAGCACTACGGAAGAAAACTCCGTGCCTCAGGGAAAGCAGGAGACAGCACGACTCAGCTGGAGCAGCCACCCCCCTCCCCGGGCCCGGAAAGCAAGGCGCAGCCCACCGGAGTGGAGTTTCCGGCTCCGAGGCTTCCCCGTTGGGCGCGGAGCGTGGCCGGTGCCCGCTCACCGCCGGGAACAACCTCCTCACTGTTCCTGCAGGCCACGGGTGCCAGTCGCCAGCCGCGCCCGGGCCTCCGGGCGGCCAGGGTCGAATCGGGTGACCGCTCGGGGTGTGCGTCGCTCACTAGCCTGCCTCCGCGGAGAAGGAGGGCCCGTCCCGGGCCCCGCCTCCGGTCCCGGTGACTAGCCCCAGCCCCAGACGATCGCCCACACTTGCCAGCGCTCGCCAGCGTTCGCCCTGTTCCGCGCGTCATGTGTCCCCGAGCCGTGCCAGTGCCAGCGCTGCAGCTTTTGGCTCTGGGCGCGCTGCTGTGGCCGGCGGCCGATGCCTGGGAGCTCACGATCCTGCACACCAACGACGTGCACAGCCGACTGGAACAGACCAGCGAGGACTCTAACAAGTGTGTCAACGCCAGCCTCTGCGTCGGCGGCGTGGCGCGACTCTTCACCAAGGTGCAACAGATCCGCCAAGCCGAGCGCAATGTGCTGCTGCTGGACGCAGGCGACCAGTACCAGGGCACCATGTGGTTCACCGTGTACGAGGGCGCCGAGGTGGCACACTTCATGAACGCTCTGGGCTACGATGCCATGGTAAGTCAGATCAAAGCTGGGGGTGGGAGTCCTGGACCGGTGGAAGAAAGCCCGGCAGAAACAGAGCTTACAGATTTGTGGAAAAAGCGAGACTGGCCAGTGTGCCAAGTACATACACACACGGAGGTGGAGGGTTCGTGTTAAACGGGTGTTCCAGAGCACCACCACGAGATGGAGGTATTCAGAGGAGTGCTGACAGTTGTGTACTGGCAGGAACTGATCAAAGTCCCTCACATATCTCCGTCATCTGCTGCTCACTCTTCCAAAGAATCCTTTATCTCTGTTTCATTGAGAGGAAAATGAGAATCATGGAAACTGAGGAAATGGTTCATCGGAGTGTTCAAATACCTTGTTAAAGGCGATGTTTGTTGGGTTAAATTCTAGAAATATGGCCAAGAGGGATTGATGACACAGTGGTAAATAAATGTAAGCAAACTACTACCTGGTAGTTTTGCATGTGTGTGTGTGTGTGATGGTTTTTTTGTTTTTGTTTTTGTTTTTTAATGAAATCACTACCTAAGTTTCACAGTAGGTAAAATCTAAAGCAGGGAGATTCAGTAAGATGTTGAAGAAGCTTGGACCAAGAAAACTGACAGCATTGGAAGAGGAAGAATAAAGCAAGAGTGCACATGTGTGGAAGGAAAGGATAGGTGTGGTCCTGGCTGGGACACGCACAAGGCTGGCATTACATGCAGTACCAGAAAAGCTCACAGATCGTGAGAGTGCAAGGCTGTATTTTTTTCCTGCGCTGGAAACTTGGAAAATGACAACAGGAAAACATGAGAGAGCACCCAGATTCAGACAAAGGAGAGCAGGAGAGAATTCCCTCTGGGCTGTTAGTTAAGAAATTCCTAGAGACACTCAACAACAGCAGCAGATCCCTAACCCCTGAGTTCATCTGTGGGACTCACCATTATCTGGATTCTACACAACAACCACAAGTCTGAAGAACCCTGTGTTCTTTCTGCTTTGCTATCGCCCTGGCAAGGCCTGCCTGATGCTTTGCGAGAAGCAGTGAGAACATAAATATTTGTAGAACTGAATTGTTACTGGCCTGTCTCCGCTTCCTCCCAGAAGAGCAGCATAAGCCTTACATGGATGTGTTTGGATTTTACATGTAAACCACAATTTGCCAGCTTTACTTTTTGTGACACCCTTTTCTCCACAGTTGTGTGAATTCCTTTTAGTAGGGGAAAAATAATCTTTCCAACTAATAGTATTCCTCTCTTTAAGTCTCTCGAGTTTACAGTGTTAATCATCGCACCAATTCATTATCACTGCAGATCTGACTGAGGTTGAAAAACCCTAGTACAAGTTATAGCCTATCTCTTTTGGGCAGGTTTAGAATATTTTCCCTGAGGTGGAATTACTGTCTTGCAATTTTTACTCAAAATAATCAAAGTGAGGCCTGAAGAAAGGGACTATATACATCATTTTTGACCAGTGGGAGGAGATCACGTGCAAGAATGGTTGCAGCTTCACATCAAGCTTGCTCTCTGCCGTTTGGGGGTTTGGCAAATAGGATTTGACCTGCAGTCTTCCTTCCTGAAGATTGCTTCACCACTGTGGCAAGAAATAGCTTCTCATTGTGTGAGTCTTTGCTCTGCCTCATTCATTCTATTATAGAGACTTTCCACTAAATTTTTAATTTGCTCCATTGAGCCCTTCGTTTCTAATAATTCTGCTTGATTTTGTTTCAGTGTTGCTATTTCCTGTGTGACATATTCTTTGGATTCCTTCATGTACTTCTTGTTGTTGATAAGAAGCTTTATAATGAGTTTTCTGAATTTTGTATCCCCCATTTCCTCAATGTATTTCTCAGTTAACTCTGAGGTTGACAAAGGTGCTGTGGTTGGACTGTGGTTTGTACAACCTTTCTCTGACTTCCAACACAAGCAGTTCCCAGAATTTAGGAAGACATCAAGTATTCTAAATAATTAGGTTGTTAGTGGTGTTAATCTTGTTAGAACCTGCTGACTGGTAGGTCTGAGGAACTCCTGGATGTATTTTGACCCATAGAATGCCAAAGTGGGTATTATTTTCCCTGTGGTACCAGTGCAATGCACTGAACCGGAAATCACTCTCAGCTCAGCGCATGCACAGCTCACTATTGTCACTCCAGTCTCATAGCCTTTGCTACAATATACAATAGTACCTGATGTGTCACTGGTGGAGTTCTGGATCTACTGGCTGTTGGGTCTGGTGGCTATCCAGACCTATTTTGGATGGAACCAGTTTAGTGCATGCACAGGGCCATCCTGCAGCCTTTGCCTCCTTACCCAAAATGGTGCCTGATGCAGCTCTGGTGGGGGGTCTGGGCTGTGAATTCAACCTATTCCTGTACCACCTGTTTGGGAAAGCAGTAGAGGATAGCACAAAGCCTTGGGACCCTATGCCCATGTGGGAAACCTGGAAGCAGTTTCTGGCTCCTGGCTTTGAATTGGCTCAGCTGTAACCATTACGGCCCTGTGGAGTGAGTTTCTTATAGGTAGTATATAATTGGGTCTTTTTTTTATTGTTATTATTATTTTATCCATTTGACTCTGATCTATGTCTTTTGCTGGGAAATTTAATCTATTTTGCTTTAAGCTTAATATTGATAAATAAGAAGTAACTCCTGTCACATTGTTCATTGCTCACTGGTATTTTCATTTATTCTGGTTTTTTTTATGGTTTTTGCTTATCTGGGAAATGTTTTATTTTTATTTCATCTCTAAAGGATAGCTTTGCTAGATATAATATTCTTGGTTGGAAGTTTTCTTGCTTGAAGATCTTGTATATATCAGCCCATTCTCTTTGGCCTATTGGGTTTCTTTTTTTTTTTTTTTTAGATGTATTTATTTTGTTGGTTTTTATTATTATCATTACTATTTTAGATTATGTTTATATAGTTGATCAGAGTGGGAAGGACCTAGGGCTAGGGAGAAGTGGATGTGATCATTGTTTCCAAACTTTCTATTTCTTCTTGCCAATTCTGTGGGAAGTGGGAGGATAAGCAGATAGGCCATACTCAGCCTCCCGATCATTCCAGTACCCGAAGATAGGGAAAGGCCCCCTGATATCAACCCAGGGTCACAATGATGCTCATGCTCTGAGGGTTCTTCCCAGGTGGATGCGATGGTTCCAGAATACTGTTGATCTCACCAATCTATGGATAAGGAATCTCTTCCAATGTCCACTGGCTGACACAGTCAACCTTATAGTCTCCATTCACCCAGATATTTGCTGTCATCGTTTGGCTGGAGTAGTTCTCCATATGTTCTAGATGTATTTATTTTAAAAGTCAGAGTTACAGAAAGAGAGATTGTCAGTCTGCTAGTTCAGTCATCTAACAACTGCAACAGCCAGCACTGGACCGGGTGAAGAGTTAAGAGCCAAAAGCTTCATCTGGATTTCCCACATGGGCAGTAAGCACCCACTTGGACCATCCCTTCATTCCACTGCTTTCTCAGACCATTATCAGGGAGCTGGGTCAGAAGAGGAGCAACCAGGGCAAGAACCAGTGCCCATATGGATGTCAACTTCACAGGCTTTATTTGCTATGCCACACTGCTGGCCTCCACCTAAAGAGGTTCTGCTTAAAAGTGCTGGAGGAGGTGGCATGTGAGTGACTTGAAGCACAGGGTCTGAGATGAGGTGGGCTGAGACAGGAGTTGGGCGGGTCCTGTAGGGCATTCCAGACATTCCTGAGGAGATAAGGCCAGGATGACCCATCTGGACTCACTCTCACACTACCTCAGGCCAGCATCCTGCTCTACCCAGACTAACAAATACAGAATGACTTTCACTTTGCCTTTGTTTTTGCAACAACCTAAATACATATAAAGATAAATATCTTGGGGGCAGCACTGTGACAGAGCTGGTTAGAGATGATTGTTAGAGACCTGACAGCTCCACTTCCTATGCAGACCCGTGCTGATGTACCTGGGAAAGCAGCCAAAAATGACTCAACTCTGCGGGGCCCCTGTCTCCCACATGCAACCATTTAGGAAGTGAACCAGCAGATAAAAGTCCCCTCTCTCTCTTCCTCTCTCTAACTCCACATTTCAAAGAAATAAAAGATAGATCTTTTTAAAAAGAAAAATAAAGTCTGGTGCTAGTCTGATGGGCTTCTTTATGTGTAACTTGACATTTTTTCTTACGTTGTCTTTAGGATTTTCCCCTTGTCCTTGACTTTTGACAATTTGACTATAACCTGCTTGGAAAAAAAGTCTTCTTGTTGAGTCTGGTTGGGGTTCTTTAAACTTCTTAGATCTTGATATCCATGTCCCTTTCAAGACTTGAGGAATTATCAACCACTAATGTTATCCCATAGGTCCTCAAAGCCTTTTTCTTTTTTTTCTCCTTGTTCACTTCATGGTATCATTTATATGGTACATATATGGTGCTGTTTTAAATTTTTTCTTCATTTTTAACTGATTTTTTTTCAAGTCTTGTCCTCAGGATCAGAAATTCTTTCTTCTGCTTAGTCAGGTCTGTTGTTGAATCCTCCAACTATATGTTTTTGGTTTTGTTTTATGGAGATTTTCAGTTCAAACTTTTTTATTATTTGTGGGGTTTAAGTTTATTACAAAGGTGATTACAGCCTCATATAGGTTATATCACCAATTAGGATGAAGAGACTCTTCAGAGCCACTGGACTTTGCCAATGCCTCAGTCATGTTTCTGGTACTATGGGACACAGACACAGAGGGGACTGCTTTCTTGACTGATTAAGCAAGTATGAGTGATTCTGGAGCCTTTGGCACCAGTAGATGTGGCCCTTGAACTGTGTGACAAAATGGGACCTTCCCTAGGTTGTACTGGGTGGGCACAGGTTATGAAGGGACTTAGAAAACCAAAGGTCCTGGTCCCAGCACTGGAAGATGTAAGGGAAACACTACTTTAGTTCCATGGCATAAACAAAGGCTTTGCTGGGGATTACGCACTTGCAGACATAAGCCTGGAACATTGAGACAGAGCCTTCCCCAGGTCCCAGGAGGCAAGCTCGAGTGCTACTA